AGCTGTACCCCCCAAACGCCGCGACCACCCCTGTGCACGCTCTTAGGGCCCCATCGTGCTTTGCAAAGGCTCTAGCTGCTGCACCTGGCGGGCAGGCTTTGTGCGGCTGTGAGGCTCCCTGGGTCCGCTGGCGGGACAGTCTGTCCTTCAGGAGCGCCAGCAGCCTGTCATCACGCCCCCAGTTTTGATTTCCTCTCTCTTTTCTCCAGATCGTCTACAAAGCCTGGCTGTGTTCCCAGTACTTTGAAGTCGCACAGTCGAACTGCAGAAAGACAATCCCTTGCAAGCAATACTGTCTGGAGGTTCAGACCAGATGTCCGTTTATCTTGCCCGACAACGACGAGGTGATCTACGGGGGGCTCTCCAGCTTCATCTGTACAGGTACAGTGGGGGGCTCGGCCCCAGCGCCCGGCACCGGCCCTGCTCGGTGCAGCTCCCCCGTCCCCAGGCCCAGGCGGAGCCCCCCGGGAAAGGCCGCGCTGGCCCCACCGGCCGGGGCCTTGCGAGAGCACAGCCCGGGAGGGGGCGGCGCCGGTGGGGTTGGGGCTGCCCCCGGCATCATCGGGCAGCAGGGGCCGGTCACCGCGGGGTCTCCCCACATGCCGGCTGCTCTGGCTCGGGGCTCAGGGCAGGGCGCAGGCGCGTGTGGCCGTGGGGTGCCGTGAAGCCCCACTGGCTCCGGCCTCCCAGACCGAGTGCAGCCGTCAGCTTCTCGGGGCTGTGCTGCGGCCAGGGAGGACCACGCCCCGCCCCGCAGGCCCTGCTGGGAGGAAAGCCCGGCGCAGCCCCCCAGGACCCGGCGCAGCCCCCCAGGACCCGGCGCTGGGCCTGTTGCGTCCGTCCGTGCTAGAGGCGAAAACAGCACCCATGGGCGCCTCCTCCTCGTGTGGCACTCAAGAGTCCTCCCCGACAGAGGGAGATGAGTGGCGGGGTGAGCCTGGCGCGGAGGGCGCCGTTGCCCGCTGCTGCCCACGGCGTGCTCAGTCCACCTCCTTCCCCGGCCCCGGGAGTCGCCCTCCTGCAGCGAGGACCGCAGAAGGGAGCCTGGCTGGGGGAGCGGGGCCTGCACCCCCAGGCCGCCACAGGCCTGGGAGTTGCGCTGTGGGGCTCCTGGGGTGCGGGGGAGGTTGGAGTCTGAGGTCCTGGAGCTGAGGTCTTTCTGTGGGGGAGACAGCAGGACAGATGGGCAGGAGAGGGGAGGAGACGGTGCTGGCAGCTCTCCCGGGTCAGGCCGGCCAGCAGGCTGTGGACCCACTGACCTGCAGGCCCAGCTCCCAGTAAACGTCGCCGAGGCGAAGACCTTGTCCCCGAGCCTGCGAGAACTCGTGGCACTTTTTGGAAAAGGCTGTTTGTTCATCCTCACACACAAGGCTCCTTTCCCGGAGATGGCCGGTGGCGTTCACCAGTTTTCCAGTTCGCTAAAGCCCTCAAGTGTCTCCGTCGTCTGTGCCTGGACTCAGCTGCCGCGTGGGCCGCAGACACCGGCTCGGTGCGCGCTCCCTGCCGCGCCCCGGAACACCACACACCCCTCTTTTCAGTCGCTTTTGAGGTTTACAAAGTCAGCCTTACACAGTCAGTCGTCACTGGGGCCGCCAAAGCAGAAGAAGCGGAGACCGTCACCCTGACCGTCTAAAGCCGGACCTCCTGCTCGCTGCCGTCTTGTGCTCCCTTCGGGACCGCACGTCTGAGAGCCACGCAGAGTAAGCCCCTGGCCCCGAAGTCCCGTGCAAGCTTCTGACCGATAGGCGCCATGGGTAGGCTGGGTCTGTTTTTGAGGAGCGGCCCAAGCCCCTCCAGGGAGCCTGTCTGGTCACTCAGCCATTGTCCTCCACCTGGGACCTCAGTCTCCCTCGAGTGTCGCTGTTGGGCCTCAACAGGAAGACATTTCTGCCGAGCGTAGTAACTCAGAGCCTGTCCCCTCAGAACACGGTCCCGTGCTCGGGCCAGAATAGCCTCTATCTCTGCCGAAGCCCAGAGGACAGGGCAGGAGAGTGGCCGTGGCCCGAGGGCCCAGTCAGGGTGGGCCCAAGCAGCTCGCCGTGCTCTGTGGAAGCAGCAAGGCTTGCCAGGTGCAGTGTTTGCTTCTGAACATGGCACTGGGGAGTCAGCACCCGCAGGTGGGTGTGGACACCTAGATAATGCACCTCCTCGGCCTTCGTGTCCTCTCCCTGTGCTGGAAGCTACTGCCCCTTGTCATCAAGAGTCGGGGGAACAGGACAGACGGAATGTCCTTCCAACTCAACAGATTCAGTGGCAGCGTTTTCCCTAATAGGAGAAACACTTCTATTCCCGGCTTCTGCGAGGAGAGAGGCCTGCTCCCGGTGCCCCGAGGCGTTTCACGTGTTGGACCCAGGGCTCTGCACGGAGGCAGGTGCCCACACCTGGCACAGGTGCTCCAGGGAGGGCGGCCAAGCTCCCTGCCAGGCCGCGGAGACTCTGCCTCTGGCCTCAGCGCTATGGAGGGCGGACCAGCCAGTTCCCCCTCCCACTAGAGAGCTGGCGAGCTAGGGTTCCTCTTACCGACCCCCCAAAACTGCATCTGAGCCCTGAGGAGCCGTGAGACATTCAGAAGTCTCAGAACAAACCAGCTCCTTTAAGTAACCAGCCCAGGGTGACTCGGCTCACAGCTATGAGATTCAGTGCCTCCTCTCCTCAGGATGCTGGCTTCGCTCGCCCAGGTCTGACATTCAGACGTTTAAATCGTGAGTCCGTGTGGGCATCTGCTGTGTCACGTGCTGTGGTTATTAGCTGAGAAATTGAACTCTCTGAGCACACACATTGGCCATTTCTGGCCAATGACTTTGGCTGAGGCTGCTCAGATGATGGTGGCCAGGTGCCCCAGCCAGGCCCCAGGTGTGTTAGCCAGGCCCCAGGTGCCCCAGCCAGGCCCCAGGTGTGTTAGCCAGGCCCCAGGTGCCCCAGCC